GACTTCCAAGATCAGAAAAGCTACACACCAAAATTATGATTTGTTACAAAGTACCTTGATAATCCCCAAAACGTTTGGGAAAGTATTGTGTGAACTGAGACGAGAGCTATATCTGGCTTAAACGTGGGACAGCAATTTAGAAAAAAAAAACATTTTGCCTTGAGGCAAATCTTTTGGACCTGGAAATTATTGACACAATTTATTTAACAATTTTACTCTGTATCACAATAAGTCCCAGGTGACCTTGAGCCCAAGCTCACTTTGAGCATTTATTCAAAAGACATCACCAGGTCTATCAATGACAAGGGCAGAACCACAGGAAGTGTATTCAGTGGTGTAAAGATCAGGAAGTCACCCCACACAATTTCTTCTGAAAAAGCAAAAATGTTAAATGATGTCGGTGTTGCAATCCTGTTGTTGGAAAAGCAAATGCTTCAAATTTAAATCATAAATCTCATCCTCTTCCTCTGCTTATTGGCAATTCCTTTTGGGTCTTGTTACACTTTTCATACGAACAGTTGTCTGGCTGCATAAACCAAACATCATCACTGCATCGTCGCCTTGATCCATAAACCTGACATGCCCCTGTACACAAACCAGGCTTGTAACTACTATGTCAAAGGTGAAACAGAAGTGGGCTGACTTCGACCACATCACTGCTTTCACAAAACACAAGTAGATTGAAAAAATGATCTTAATCCCACCTCTAATTGTTTTGTAAAAGGTCAAACACATGAAAGATTTCCTGCTGGTTAAAGCATTTGATGACAGAGGCACAATAATTTAGGTGGGACTTAGATTGTAGGTATAGGTTGGTTTAGATAGTATTTTAGCCCTTAGTAATAACTATCATCTTCAATCATCTTTTGAAAATTAAATATGTATTTACTGAAATTACTCAAACACCTAATCAGTTTGATGATCGGAAATGTTTACATGTGATAAAGAGGTGAAAACAGGACACGTCTTCGAGGTGGGAAATGCTCTCTGAAGATGTTTAGTTCGCAGGTGTGGTGACTTGAATAAGTTGCAACCTGCTGAGAACCTGATGCGATTGTTTAGAGATTAATGTGACAAGCTGTGCCTCGATCACGTGTCACAGGTTTGTGGAAGAAAAATGAGCTCAAGCACTCAATGTCACTCTGGGTGAAAGCGTCGCCTAAATGCCTACGGAAACGCAAAATTGAATCCTTCTATAAAATTGTCGAGGATACAGGTACGCTAAATAATTGCTGAATGGAGAGATGAATACTTGGAGGCTTTTTCCCCCTCCCTTATAAATAGGAAGAGGATTTATCTCTGTGTATGAGAGAGAAGAGAAGCTTTGAATTAAAGATGAGCTCCCTGTGCCTTTTGTTGGGCTATTGTGAGTAACACAGCACATACTACACAGTTAGTTCAGGTTTGCAAAAATAGGTTGGTAAAGTGTTTCAGCTTTGTAGAACCTGAACAGACTAAGTGTGACACACATGTGCCTCCAGGCTGAGTTTGAGAGCTGTGTGTTCTTATTAATGAAGTTGATTTGGGCTGGTTGTAAGGAATAATCTGTGGTGGACCTGAAAATTAAAATTGTTGTGCCCTTAGAGGAGACTTGTACACCATTAACACTTCTTTGTGTGTAACATAAAATCACCTTCATTTTCCTTTCGCTCCATTCTGTGTGCAGTGGCAGAGAATAACAGAATGTGTCATCAGCTGAGACGAAGGACGTGAAATGAGCAGCAAGCGACTCATGTCCAATCTCTCTCTGTGACCGTTGTGTCTTGCTCCAGGTTATTTTCTGTCCCCACCTCTCGTCCCTCACACTTAAACTTGAACCTAATGGGTACTGACAGTAAATTGCAATTACCCATACGAGACACTTTAAAAATAGTTCAAGAAATTAGAATGCAGTAAATTGAGCACACAAAGTGCTGCATCATACTTCAAAAGCTGTTCTGGCTTTATTGTTCCAGATACTTGTTTACATTTATGTGCTTGTTTGTTCTTAAAATATAAAGAGTGTTGCTAATTTAAAACAGTGGCTGATTAAGAGATTCTTTGCCCTGATATATATAAATATATATATATATGCATATTTATGTCCCCATGTGTTGTCATGCCCCTAACTTTAGAAACTACTGTTAAGGAACATCAGCAAACAAACATCATCATGAAGAGAAAGGGACACACTGGAGTGAGAAGTCATAAAGCAGTTTGAAGTACCGTTACATTATGAAACAATATGCCTAGCACTGAGAATCTCATGGAAACAGTTTGGACTCAACATCTAAAAATGTAAAGAGCATGGTTCTGCAGTAAATCCTCAAAGACATGATCATCCACCTAAACTGGGAAGCAGCTAAGAGGTCCATAGTAACTCTTAATGAGCTTAGGGATCTGACGCTCAGCTCAGGACATCTATTAGTCCTGCAAGTCACAAATGTGACCTTTATGGTTAAAAAAAAAAAGCTATTGTTGAAAGAAAGCTATTAGAAATCCTGTTAAACGTTAGCCACAAGTCATGTAGGAAAAAACTGTAAACATGTGGAGGAAGATCCTCAGAGCATTTTGGTCTGTGAGCCACTTATTATAAAATAAAACAAACACCCAAAGCACACAATCCCCATGAAAAGTGGTGGTGGCAGCATCATGACATGGGGATGAATTTCTTTAGCAGGAACAGATAGTTGATGTGAAATTAAATAAAAGGGACGGAGACCTGTTTAAGGTGGATGCTTACCTTCCAGAGGACTAAAAACAAAGTAATGATTCAGATCAAACCAAATCTTTTTAGAATGGCTTAAAGGCTCAGGCACTGAGCAACTTTACAATAAAACATTTTCAGAAATACTTTGTCTCTAGATGTGCAAACCTGATAGAGATATACTATAAATTACTTGCAGTTACAATTTGAAAGGTGATTATTCAAAATATTGACTCCAGAGGACTGAAAACAAATGCATGCCACACTTTTCAGATTTAAAAAAAATCTAAACTAGGTCTAAATTTACTTCCACCTTGTGTGATTCTTCACTATTTTCTGTTGATTCATGACATAAAATCACAATAAAATAAAAGTTTGCTACTGTAATGAGACAAAATGAAAATATGAAAAGCATAAATTATAAGAATTGTAATGAGATTTCAGCTTAAAGGTAGGTTACCTCATAGAGAATAATAAAAAAAAACTTCCACGATTCAACATATTGAAAAAGAAATTACATCTTGGAATTACATCTTGGATTTTTCTTTTTTTACATTACTGATAAATCATAGTTGTTAATTGTATATATAGGGAACACAACAGCTGCATATTTAAACTAAAATTTCATCCACAAAGCAGAGTATAGTTTCAGCTAAAACCCAGTTACACCACAAAAAAAACAAAAACAGAAACAACAAAAATGAAAATCTGACAGTGAACAAAGAATCATTTATACTGATGGAGGCAGACAACCGACACGGTGCAGGTGGTGTGAACAGCAAACCAGGACCAGGTGGGAGGAAAAGAGCAGAATGTAAGACTAACTGAAGCAAGCCAGAGAACACACACATACAAATATGAGTGCAGATAACAAAACATAAGCAATAACTTTAAGCCAATGTGATTTTTACAAAACCACGAGTTCCATGCAAGTTCAAATTAGTCCAGCAGCAAAATCTCATTAGGATAATTATGTTTCTCAGTGTTAACTGCTTAAAGTTTATATCTTACAGTATTTTATTAAAAGTGTGTATTGAGATTCAAGTCTCCCCCTCACACAAAATGTGAAGGGTCAGAGTTGTTATCATTACTTTAAGACATAAAGTCACCTGTAAACTTCTGTGATGAAAATATCAACTTTTCGCTTCAGATACGCCTTTTTTCCCTTAACAGTCAGTTTTCCAGGCTGAAGAGTTCAATTGTAGCCCAGCAAAGATTTATGCTAGCTCTCAAAACTGCTAAACGCAGTAAATCATGCTGTTGTGAAAGCTGTACAATGCATTTAAAAAGTGAATTTCAATCCTACATTTGGTATGATAAATCAATTGAGCAATGTTTGTGTGAATGCAAAAAAGCCTGAAAGGAAGTAACTTTAACCTTGCGGTGATTCTTTTAAATAAAATTACATTTTTTTTTATAGATATAAAGTAATTTCCTATGTAACAGCAAAAGTGTTAGCTTTGAGTAGAATTCAACATTCAAATATGTCTAAAAAATAAGTCAGATTTGCATCACAGGAGTTTGTATTGATGCGTCTATTCATAATGGCCAAACTAACAAATGAATCCTGTAAGCTGAACTGAATTCACTGCTGTAGATAATCCACTGTAAACTATATGTTTTTAATTTGCCACTGGATACTTCAGGGACTGCAGACAGCATCCCACATATCATCCAGAAACTCATCTCAAATGGACTGATAGAAATTACACATGAATCTTGTTTGTATTATGAAAATGAAGTGACTCATGACTCTCAAATGGCGAATAATTATTTCCATCTCCTTTTGTGGATATTTAATCCCTTTTGCTTCAGCTATCATTGCAAATATAATGTGGTCAATTATTCTCAGTATTCAAACCTCATCTGTTAGCGCTCTCCCGTTTTCCAACCAAGAGTGTAGGTTTTATAATGCCTATAAACTTAATTACCTTGTTTTGGCTGCTGTCATCTTCACATTATGGGATGTAATTTTTAAAGCAAAGTATCCTGACAGGTGCTGACAGGGTTTCTACCTAATTTGTAAAGAAGCACAGAAATAAACCTCTAAGAGACTTTAGGGTTATATCACAGATAAAAGGTAATCAAAACACTGCAAGTTCACTAAACTTTTTGTAAGATCCTGTATGAGAGTGTTTGGATCACAAAGATCTAAAAAAAAAAAATGCCTAATGAATGTCACACACAACTCCTTTCAAAAAATTATAAAGTGTGTGAATGCTCTTGGTATATTGGGGATAGAAACACAAATCTGAGGATGTGTCATGTCAGCACTGACATATTCCCTTCTGGGTGCAAAATATTATTTCATTACTCCAAGCTTTTATTGCAAAAAGGGAATTCTTGATAACAAGAACATGTTCACACAAACAACATATACTCAATAAAAGTAACAACATATTATTCTAAGAACAGACATGACAGTGTATAAATATCCCTCTGATTAAACATTTACATTGGCTTTATGCCAATGTAATGTAATTCCTATGCCTCATGGAATTATGTCTAACATATTTGTTGATACTTCTGCTGTTAAGAATTTCCACAGTTTATTCATAATTCTCAGGTTTGCCAGGAACTCTGACAAGGTTGCAAGAGCCTTTGAAAGAGAAACAAGCTCACCGAATTATAGAACCTCCACCGTACCTTACAGTAGGTATGAAGTGCTTTTTGATAAGTGCTTTTTCTATGCCATGTTTCTGACAAAAATATATTTCCAAGTATGGTTTTATAAACTAGTTTGTTCTGATGGAGAAACAGTCATAGCTTTGATGAGGAGAAAAATACCAAAGAATGAGAACTGCAGCAAAGTGGGAACTCACTCTTCATTGTAGTTTTCTCAAAATAAACTTTGCCAATTTAAACATGAGACCTTGTCTAGCCTTATTTGTTACAGCTCTTAATTGTTGCTTTAGCCTTACATATTCGTAACTCTTGTAGGGTATTACATAAATTTTCCTTACTTGAATGGCACATTGTTTTGTTTTCCCTGTTTTAAAGATTAGCTATGAGAAAATACTTTCTGTGTGACATCCTTTTCATTCCTCAGAGGAAAAAAAGAAACTCATGAATTACTAACACTTACACTCTGAGCAACCTAAACCAAAACCTGAATCACAAAAAAGCCATAACAGAAGAAATATATAGGTGGGTAAATACATTTTTGCAGCACTGTATGTGGACCTTGCTGCATTATCACAACCTGAATGTATTAAGCTGAAGTCCTTTGTTGTCTCCTCCAAGCAACAACATCCAAGCTATATTTATTTCTTAGTCACTCACTGACTTACCAGCCTTCATAGAAGGACATTTCGTCAAAGCACCAATGTCTGACTTTATTTAATGGAGTTCAAACATGTTTTAACCCATCTGCATCAGCAGCGCCTCAAGCTGCAGCTGAGTTTAGCCACTATGGGACATTTGACAGAAACTCTCCAGTGCAAAGGCATACTTCTCTCAATCACGTCCCTGTCTTAGAGTAGGCAGAAATACTTAGTTGTTAACCTAAAATGACATCATTTGTCTTACCATCTTTCCCTGTAAACACTGAATAGTAATGATTTGAATGTTTACAAACCAAACCCTGCAGGAATCCTTGATTCTTATGATGCCTCAGTAAAGAATCTTGTCTCGAGGAAAACAATTATAATGCATAACTATGTGATATTGAGCAAGCTGCTTAGAACTCAGGTACCTTCAGCCAGAACAGCATGTGCTCTTCATATGTCTAAAATGGATTGGTTATATATATATGGAGGATATGTATTTTTTTTCACAAAGACAAAATGCGAAATGTTTGGTTGAGCTCAAGAGATAAAAGAGAGTCAATCAGGATGAGTCCAGGAGGAAAATGTGCAATATGCATATTAAGAGGACAGATGATTAAGTGGTAATAAACATTCTGCTCTTTTGGAGGCGACGAATCGCTCCGAGGCAGAAAAACACCGGTGTTTCAAACCATTACTATAAGAAGAGTCTCCTCCATGGGAGCTCTCAGTTTAGAGAGCCAAACAAAAAAAAACCTGATCTAAAGACTCTCTGCAGCGAAGAAGCTCCTCTTCTCTTTTCTTCCTTTCTCCTCTCCTTTCTCCTAATGATTAGCATTTCAAACAGTTCTTGTTTTGCGTTAGGACTTCATGCATGTGTGCATGCCATCACAGCCTTGCAGGTGGTGGCCTGTGACCAGTGGGGTAAAAAAAAAAAAGAAAAAGCTGCCTTTGTATGCATGTGCATTTGTGTGTGTATGTGTAGGGAGTCAGAGTGCTTCTTTACAGTAGTCTAAAGGGACCTGACCTCGTTAGGAAGCTAAAAGTAAGGGACAGCGCCGACAACAATTGCTACACAGTGTGATCATAAATTTCTCAGTGTTTGTGGTCTGTTGCTTTAAGCGGCAGCGAGTCACGAGCCACAGACTGGGTTCACTTTCTGCCACCTGAAAAAAAAAATCCACAAAATCTCTTTTTAAGGGTCTGCCAGCAGCTCGGGCCAAACCTTGATTGAGCGCATCACAATGTGCCCGGCATTTCAAGCACAAAAACAAAGACTTTAGCTGAAGCTCTCGGTTTGGATTGGGAAAAAAACTACATCACTTAATCTCTTGTCAAGTTTAATGGATTGTTCTCTCTAGGGGATTAACACAAAACAAAACTATTCAAAGAAAAATTACAATTAAATAATGAGTTTCTGCAGTTCTGAGCTCAGCCAAGAGATATCTAATTAAATATCTGTTTTTCTCTGCTTTGTCTGTGAGCGGTCCAATATTGCAAAAGTTGACAGCAGCAGGTCAGGTGAGGATTGAACTCTTTAGCAGAAGCTTCTGTCTTGCTATCGTGCCACCTAAAAACAAATACAGAAGAAAAAGAGTGAGTGGTTCTTTCTTTTTTTAAGGGAAATTTGATTTTGATACTTTTGGACACAAAATAAAGCTTTGTGTGTTGGAAATTCTGACTTTTGCTTTTTTTTTTTTTTTCTTGTCAGACATTCACAGATTTCTACCTCCAGCTCTAAAACATCACTTGACATCTAAACTACAGTATGTAAAGTGAAGTCTGTCATGAGATAAGCTAGTACATGTGATAAACTTACCCAAAGGCTGGTAAAGCGTGTGTCTCGGAAAAAAGTGAAAAGTGAGAAAAGCTCTCAAAACCTGAACTGTGGTGATTCCTGCAAAATGCTGCACTTGTAAAGTGCACAGTGAGTTTATTCACATTTTATGCCATTTTTTTTTTTATTGCTTTGCTGAAGCATCTTCAAAGATCCCATCTATAACTACAGATTTATTACATTTTAATCAGGACTATAACTTACAAAACTCCTAAAGAATATCTGCTAAAACAGATTAAATAAAAATTTATAGTTTTCTGATTTTTCTGTCTAAGCAGATCCAGGTCAAGAAGGGTTTTAATTCTAGCAAAATCAACCCTGTGCCAATGTCCTACATCAAATTCATTTTCATTTCAGGGCACATAAACTTAACTAATGTCAATATTCTGCCAGTTGTGCCAGAATGTATCAATAAAACTACTTATTATTATTATTACTTTTTTTAAGATATAGCTTTCTTTGCATTTGATGAATACTTCTTATAATTAAACAATATGAAACAAATGTTTTTATGTTGATGTACTTTTGCACGTACAGAAAATTTGATTTGACTTGACTGTTTAAAATAATATTTAACCACACACATGTTATCTGGAAGATTCTCTTTATCTAGCCCTCCAAAATCTATGGGGTCCTCATAAGTAAATGTGGCCCTTTAGATTCTAGATTCTAATTCATCTGCCACTGTTTCATGGTCGATGATTCGACCCCTACTTATCTGCTATTTAGGGCCACATAAATAGCACTGCTGCTGTTTATTTGGCCCTTAATAGTAATAGTGGGCTGAATGTGGCCCACAGGCCTCAAGTTTGATACGTGTCCTTCATAAAAGAGTTTCTATCTTGTTCCCAACTCTGTCTTTGTCCAGAGAAAAGGACAAGTTTTAAAGCTAAGGGCTGGTTTGGGAAGCCAAACTACCAATGATCGAGTTGTTTCCTTTGTCATAGGCAGGACAATACGTTCTACATAGCTGCTTTCACCGTCACTGTTCTCGGCCGAATCTATGAATGACTAACAATGCATCCCCATAAACAATTCACAACACTTTACTTTTTTCATATTTTGTTACGTTTCAGCAAACAGCTGATATAAATGGAACTAGTGCTTAAAACTGGTGCTATGCGAGCACTACGGATCAAACCAGTCCTAGTCTGGGTTTGATACGAAACAATAAAGCACCCTAAAGCATCAAATGCAGTTTCACAAGAAAATCTGAAGCCTCCTGGAGGCCAGTAGAAGGAGTCCATGCTTAGGCTGCTTCCCTTTCACCATTATTTTTCAAAACAATTCTGTGGCTCCATACATAGTATATTTACAAGCTTTGATAAAATCTCAATTTACTGCACTGTGTTGATTAAAGTATAAAGTATCCATTACAAAAAAAGCAGGGACAGAGTGAAAAAGAGAATTAATTCTGCAACAGTCATGTCACCTCAGTATTATCGTCGACTTACAGCTATGGCTTATAAAAATCTATTTTGTGGCCGATGAATCAACCCCTGTGAACTAAAGACAAGACATTTGCCTGGCCTGTTATCAGCCTATTAAATGGCCTTTACAGAGTGTTATCACTCTCATAGATATGAGCAATTGGTGCCTTCCTCCATCTCATCCCACTGTGGGTTTGGCAGCCCCAGTTTTCATTCTTTTTGATCAGTGATAAACCCATGATAAACACAAAATGAGCCAGATTACACGGGCAAGCTCCCGCAGAAGCATAAAAAACTGGACTAAAGGTCACTGCTGGTGTTGTTGAAGATGACTAAAGAAGCAACCCTTTCACACAATACTTAAAATTGCTAAATTGCTTTAACTTTGGGTTGGTTTATCATCCCAGACCACAAACTTTAAGCAAAACTAAATGCATTATTTTTGAATTAGAGTTTGACATGGACAGCCTGTGGCATTATCAGCCTTAACTCTGTTGTGGTCTTTCAAATTTCTGCTCCCAACCTTTCACTTGTTGTCTCATCTTGGGCATTCAAACCGGATCTCTGCAAGCTTGGAATTTGTTAAATTTCCTAAATGTTTCCCTCCGTGTGGGCTGTGAAACCAGTGAACAGATACACTGGTCTTGAACAAGTGCAACTCCTGGCCAAATGTCTTGGACTAATAACTAGAGGTAATGGTTACTTAATGGGCTTGTAATATTTGAATCAGATATGCAAGAAGATTCAGAATAAGAACATGCAGATGTACATTTAACCCCTTTATTTCGTTGCCTCTTGCAGAGCAGAGAGAACAGTACTTTCAGGAGTAATTATTATTTGAAAGTTGAAGTAGTATTTAATGTTACTGAATTAATAATGTAACTCTCAACCACATAGCTGTTATCACACAGCTCCTCCTCAACATGAACTACATTTGACCTGATTTAAACTCTCAGTGAACTGGTGGGCCTGATGTGACATTAAAAGTATGATTACAACAAAGCACTTTGAGGGCACATATTGGGAAAGTCTTTGCTTGGCCCGCTTCTGCATGAGCTTAACAATGATGTTACTCGTTCGCTAATCTAAGAAATCCATAAAATATAAGATAAAGAGTGTTTACCAAACCAGATGAAGATTTCTTGCCAATGAAATATGTCCTTAATGATTTGAAAATTTGGTTTCCTTTTTATGTCATTGAGGTTTGGTTGATTAAAACCAATTTTTGCATCAAATTGTTCTCATCAATTAGTTTCTGTCATCATATTGTAAAATGCGTGTTTGTTTCAGTTTTTTATGCTTTGACTTATGAGTTCTGCTTTTCTTTTTTTGGGGAGTTTTTCAAAAAACTCAAGATCGCCTTTCCTTCTTCCACAAAAAAGTCATCCCACTTCCTACAGCAAAAAATGCAACTGAATCCTATTCTGTTTTATTCTTGATTAAAGATTACCGTGTTGTGGCTGCAGTAAACCATTGATCCCTTTCGGCACGCTTCCATTGCTTACCTGCCCCACTTTCACTGTAAAATATTCCCCCCTTGCTATGAATTATGTATAAAAAGCAGTTCAACAAAAAGGCAACTTCAGAGACAGCTCGTTTCTAAAAGCGGTGGGGTTTTCCTTTGGCCGTCAGATTTAATTACATGGGTTTTAGTGTGCAGAATTAGTTCACAGCTTATTTCCTGTTTGTCCTCTTGGCCCCATCATTCACCAGATTATAGAATTAGGTTTTCCGAGCACGCTGAGGATGGCGAGAGCAAGAAGTTTGATACAACCAATGGAAGCAGTTATTACACTTGATTGCGGAATCTGTCAGAATCAAAGGAGAGCAGCGGAGAATAAAGTTTTAGGATGTATACAAGTCAACCAGGAAGTCCCAAAAAAGATTAGACTCACCACAAAACCAGATCTGTATGCAGTGCTTTACTGTGACGTTGTTTTGTATTGTGTAAGGCTGAGAGTTTCTCCATTTCTTTCCGTTCTGTTAATGAGATCTGTTATATAGTGTGCCCACATACAGACCCCTAAAGTAAATGACTGTCATCACTGACACAGTTATCTGCCTCATTGCTCTGTTTATGCTCCCAACAGTAACCTCATAAGCACACTGTATGCCCACTCAGCTGTTCTATAATTAATACTCCAAATGCCGGCTCTCCCCGTTTTATCCATTTTCATTCTTGTAAATGCAATGCGCCATCTGAATGCATCATGTATACATACAATAGTTAGGCCAACTTCAATGTGACATTTGTATGAATAAATTGGTTTGCCTTTTGAATCTCTCTCTCTTTCTCGCCATGCTCTCTTCTTCTGTTCCTTTTCATCTCAAATATCTGGCTTTCTTTATGGATCCCGTTCCTCCATCCCCTAGACCCATCTGTAAAAGCTTGGCAGCATTCAAGGTTTCCTCCTGTTAAATAGCAAGAGGTTTTTTTTTTTATTATTTGTTGTTTTCCTTTTCCTTGCTTTTGCTTTAGTGCTCGCTCCAGGGAGCTTAGGCACAGACATCTGTGTAGTGTCTTCAGACAATTTTGATTGCTACCGCTGCTGTAAAAAATAAACTTGAATAGAATGACTGTGTTGGATTGGCAACCTATTCAAGGTGTGCCTCACTTCTTGCCCACGGTCAGCTGGGATATGCCTCAGCACCCCTCCTGCAACCTTCTGAGGAATCAAGCAGGTAACGCTAACAGCTGGATGGATGGACAAATCGAACTGTGACTCAGACTAATGCCGGGCCCCTCCTCACCTTCGTGGTCTTCACTTTGTTCCCAGAGACGCATGACCAACCAGTGAGGTCAGGGAGAACTCGACACTCCTCCCCCTGCAGACATGGCTCCATTTTACACCACCATTTCTGAAGCACAATGGAGGCTGGAGAGGTTGGGGGGGGAGAGAGGCAAAGGGTCACTTTTTCGATTGAAGAGCTTCCACAAAAAAAGAGTTGTTTGGAAAAAAATCATTCCAATCAGATGTCATGCTCCTTTGGACTTTAAAAGCCTCGACATCAGCAGTTTCTTGTGAATGTAACTCGACTTTGACACGCAACACTTTCCGGTCATAGAAAATTTTTTTTTTTTTTAGGAGAGTTGCAAGAGGTGGTTTCTGTATTATTACCTTCAACACAAGAGGGCAGTGCCCTTGTTGTCCCAGCTACCTGTCCGGGGAAGCAAGAACACTTGACTGTTTGAGAGCGCTCTTCAATCTTATTCTTATTGCAGCAGCGATGAGCCGCAACCACTTCACATGTCCCCGTCCTCTCCTGTGATGACCCTGACCAAGAAATGCAGAAAGGAAAAAAAAAAATCTGTTTGATTCAAGAAGGAGCACAAGACCACAGCACTCGCTATCTCAACAGCGGTGCCACTAAAGGTAGCCAGCAATTCTAACCTGATGTTTTACAAATTTTTATTAATAGGAATTTTTAAAAAAATGGAAAACAAGCTGGAGAAAAATGCTAAGCCTTATTTATTAACTTTTTGTCCTGGTCTGTGTCTGATGAATGTGTAAACAACATTCCTCTTATAATTGTTTAAAGCTATTGGTTTTGATGAGCCACTCATACATTCATCAGAGAACCCAATTAAGTGTGACCCTTTAAAACTCCCTGCCTCCACAGATATAGGCGGTGTCCTGGCGTTAGTCGATGTTAAATTCTGAAAAAATAAATGACTTTTTATCTAATTTTAATCACCCAGTAAGAAGGCAGCTTAACCATTACTTATACCGTTTGCTGTTATTGTTTTTAGAGCAACAGCACCACCCAGTGTAATGAGAAGTACCACCAATCCAAATCATGACCTGATACGTGTCTTATCACCAGAAATCAGAGGTAAAGTAACAGTATTGCTGTGTATATTCACTAAAGTGTCTTCCATTATTCCATAAATTATCCAAAGAAGCGTATGAAAGTATTTGAAACTAAACATCAAGTACTAACTGTTTGATCAAAATAATGTAGTCAAACATTCAAAAAAAAATTCAGTTTTTTAGATAATAAATTACACTTGTTTTTATATATGATTCAAGAAAAGCAAACATTTCCAAGTATTTTATTTACAGCATCAACCTTATTTATATTCAGATTCAAAAACTTAGAATATGCCAAATGTATTGCGCACTAGACACAACCAAAATGTTTAGAAACTCAGACACAACGAAGGATGGAACATTTATTTTGTCTACTTCACTGTTCTAGTTCATCACTATCACATATTTCAAAAGTATTTTACTTGAACATTAATATTTTATGCTGCTTCATGATGGTACTTCCTGTGCTTTCTGTCACAAGCGCTGCACTCTTTACTCCACTACATTATCTGACAGTTTCAGTCTCTCGATGATTCTCTGAACATATTATATGCAACTGCAAAGTTACGTAAACCATTCCTTGATTTCTTTAAGTAATGCCTGGAAACCTTTTTTCCCCATGACACAAAATCCTGTCTCTTCATTTAAATCTGTAAACCATTAAATCATTATGTTCAGGGAATTGACAAATTTTCCCAAACATCTGAACATTTAGAGCAGAAGCCACTGATTTTGCAGCAACAAATTCATATATAGAGATCTATGAAAAGAAAACCCTAAAAATCTGCCTAGACCTTTTAATTAAAAAAAAATCCTTTAATACAATGCATATGCAGTTCAGTAAATAGGAATGTATTTAAAAAGCTAATTTACATAAACAATTAAATAACCTTCTGGACAATCACAGCACATACCACAGGCATCCCCACCATTCATTCACAGAGTTCAAGAAGGGGGTAACCACAAAAGGTTAACTGCAAAAGAAGTGTCCTACTAACGGCGTGCTGCATAGCCAAAGAATGGAAAGTTGACTGGAAGGTAAAAGTGCATTTGCTCCCATGATGGTGAAAGCCATAAACTAGCCATTACATGTGTGAAATTATCTTTAATTTCACACATTGCATATTACATGTCAAGTCATATTCAAATTGTCAGATAGCCTTTGTTTTATTTTTCATAAGCTGTGTGCTGTAGTTATAAAAAATAACCTAAACAAATGGTTAAATTTTGCTGTATTTACTTCTGCTTAAAGAATATACAGTATATACGCGTTTCAGTTTGGAATCAAATTACTGCAATTTCTTAACTTTTCAGTGATACTTTTATAAACTTACATGCATCTGTGAGAATTAATAAGGACCAATAATATACTTTTCAAAAAAACAATCAACAAAAAGAAGAAAAAAAAAAAGCAACTGTGCTGTGACTTATAGCATCATAAAAATGTATGGTGGATCTAAAGATGTTTGTGCTTTAATTGAGCTCTGCTCAAGCCAGCAGGCCTTTGACCAGGAGCCCTAATGAGCCCCGCTGGGTGTCTGTTGGTCTGACCGGGCTGATGCTTACCTCTCTGTCCTCGAGAGCTTTGGTTGCCACTGGACACTTGCTGGATGCTGAGGTTTACTGTACAGAGCAAAATGAACCCCCAGAGTAATTGTTGTGTCAGTTTGATCATCTTCATCTTACCTACACAGAAAAATGGAGATTCATGCAAAATTTGTGAACAGCGCTGTGATTTTTAAATTGTACAGGTGAGACTAAGCTGTGTGCATAAAGCTGATTTGCCAGGATGGAAAAAAATTTTACCTGAAAAAAAAGCCAAATGCCTGGGAGCAGATGAGACTCAGACCTAAAGTCATTTCTGAGTTATATTTTCCTTTCAGCTGTGTATGTCTTTGTGAATAAAGTGGTAGTCCAAATGAGTCACGCACACACAAAAAAAACTGGGACGCAACTTTAATCCTAAGTACCACAGAGCATCTGAACAATGATGACACAAAGTGAATACTCCATGAACAACTTATGTTCTGCAAAAATACAAACATTTTTATAGTATATCTGTTTTTTGTATTGGTAAACAGATAAATTTGAGCCAAACTAATTAGATGCTATTTTGTTATTTAACCTACCTTATAATTTAAAGACATTATGTACATTAGTGTGCTGTATACCAAGCTTCTAATAGCACTGAGAATTGATGTTCTCCACTTACTTGCACCTTGTGTCTTATTTATGTGCATGATAAGGCTTCAGAGGAGTCCCCATCAGTCTCTCTGCGTAACAGCATGCATCAGGAGAAAAATAAGGTTGTATTAAATACTAATCTGCAGTTTTGAAGTATTATCCCTCGAAGTTGGAAAAAAATGAACTAAAATCAAGTAAATAAATAATCACGGGAGTGCAGGCCTGCTGCAGAACAAAGAATCAAAAAGTCAGCTCGGGAAAAAAAAGAAGCACTCTCAGATCCACTCCTGTCCCAGGAGTCACACCGTAGTTACCCTTTAGACAGGAAGCAACGGCAGAGAGACGCTTGTTCGCGACAGAACCAGACTGCCCTGTCAGTTTCATCCAAGAGGAAAATTAAAACTTAATCAAGGCAGAAACCATCTGTCTTCCGGACAATAAGCGGCCACTTTCATTAGTGCCTTAAGAAGCTTAGGGGAAGTGTTGACATGCACACTGGATATGGAGAATGATTTTTTTTTTTTTTTTTGCTTTCTTTTTAAAATATATCTATTTCAAAATATATATGTATGTATATTTGTTTTTTTAATAAGGTTAAGTTTTAAAGAGAGTTATAATATTCAGTTCAACAATAACATAAACCTAAAATATTAAATCTAGGCAAGAAACAAAAGGATCATTCTGATTCCTGGATGAAAAGCTCTAAAAATAAAGATCAACTGTTAGTGGGTGGAGAAGATTTAATCTGGAGAAAATTGGTTTTCTGCAAAATACTTCACTGATACGTATGTGTTGTATTAAAATACTACTTATTTAACGGGTAATTATCTCTATGGACAGCTTGAGAAATTTTGAAAACATGAGCCTTAAAACAGGCAAGCTACTGGCATTCGGAATAATTACAAAAAGCATGTGTTTGACATATTAAAAATTTTAATTTGTTTTATACGTCATAACAGGCTATGAAAAAAATAAGCTAAGATTGAATCAGTAGCTGTTTAATTACTACACAGTAATGACTTAGAAGTTAGAATCAAATATAAAACAAAAATGTAAATGAAGTCTTCTGACTACTCTGCTGTGTCATAACTGTTACATTTTGTGACCAGATGCTTGAGATGATGTTGAAGCAACACCCAAGCAGGTGTTTGTTGGGTGGGGGGAAAGTAATTTCTGGAAATATGTCCTGTGATCGACTGAAACTACAGTGGGACCGTTTGGCGATAATGCCCATTCTTACATTTGGAGGACAAACAGGAAACAATTGCCTGAAGTAATTCCATTCTATTTGAATTGTATGGGTGGCAGCATCATGTTGTAGGGAAATTTTGCTGCAGGAGGAACTGGTGTACCTCATAAAATAGATGGAACCATGAGGAAAAAGAAATATGTTGAAATATTAAAGCAATATCTAGAGACAAATTGGTCTTTCAAATTTGCAGAAACACAAGACAATTCAGAAAGTATACTGTGGGTGGTGTTTGCTTGAAGTCCAATAATGAAAAAGAAAAAAAATACATTTCTAATGATAAACTTTATTAGGTTGGAGTTTACATACATAATTATTCTCAAATAATAAGAAACTGGATATAATATGAATCTGGACTGGACAAATAGAGAAGTGAACCATGTTACAAAAAAACAATATTATTTGATTCCATCTTCAGACAACACAATCAACATGATGTCTCACAAGTGAGACCTTCTGCGCCATATTTACATCCTGATGTCAAATGTGCAACTGCAACAGCAAAAGAAACGCAGTGATCCCACATCCAGTTTGCATTCAGATGCGTCAGTGCGGTTTAGTCAGTTAGTTTTTAATTCAAGCGGTGAAATTAATCTTGAATAGAACCGTCTGTGGAGTGGTGACATCGGCAACAGCGATTTCCTGTCCGTCGGACAACCCCAGCTCTGCATTGGAGGAAAATAAAACACGACACATTTACAGTTTTAAGGCCAAAAATAAAAAAATAAATGCATTTTAAAAAGACATCTCTTGTGTACCTTTTAGAGTTTTGCAGAGGTTTGGTCTTGTGCGCTCTTCGATGGACTTAACAGACTGCAATAAGATTAGAACATTTGTTTTAGCTCTAGGTAAACAGATTGTGCAGCAGTTTAAGAGTTAGACTTTGTTTACCTGCAGATACAAAGTCTTGTTCTTTCCTTCAAGGGTTGTGGTGATGGCCGGTGATTTCATTTGTCTGGACAGAAAAATTCCACCGTCTTAAAGTGATCATAGATCAAATTTGTACATTACTGATATTGTCATGTTTTGTTCCGAGAACTCACAAGGAGGCCGTTTCTGTCAGGTACTCTAAAACATCTTGTAATTTGGCAGAAGGAGGGAACTGGAGATCTTGAGGTACCTGGCTGCATGCTGTGCAATTTTCCTGTCAAAGAAGGATGATTTGGAACACCGATCATTAATCTCTATATGAAAACTGCGAGCGCGGTCTATGGTTAGTAAAAAAATACAAACCTTTCTCTCGGCTTCAAAGGTGTAGGTGTATAATCCATCCACATCATTAAAAACCATGTAGTTATTCAAGGGAATATATGCACTGAAAAGACAAATCTGACTGTAATTGATCCTGACATCAAGAAATAAAACCTTGAAGAAAATATGTTTCTCTAACAAACCTTGTAGCGATTTTAAAGACCTCAGTTGCACAGGCAGCTGTGAAGAGCAGAAGTAAAATGTATAAAAATGTTTTTAGATACACAGGCCCCTGAAGACTGGAAAAGGGGTATAGTGACTCAGCAAATTGACCAATGATGCCTAAAACACTGGTGAAGAAACAGAACTGCTCTAAAAAGCCAAGTTTCATACCAGCAATAACAGCATTAGTTGATGCCACAGCAGGAATAATCCTCTTCACAACTCCTGCAACACAAAAGCCGACTCTGAGGTTAATTCTATCAGTTCTGTCAAAAATAAGAAGTGATGTAACAAATTAGCGCTGCATGAATTAAAGTTTTCTAATTCACAGTCTCACCTTGCGTGAGTCTGTACGTCACTCCTGTGATGTTAAACTCTGCCGCTCTTTCTTGAGATTTTTCAAACACCCACTGAATGTGTTCTGGATTGTCACCGTCTAAACTCGTGTCTAGTTGAGAAGAAGGCAGAGGCAATAAATGTTGATACAAACTCATAGATTTTTTTTTTTTCACATTATATACATTTAAATTGATGCAGACCTCCAAAAGGCCTTTCTTTGGACCACTGTAAGATTCTGGCGTATTCCACGCAGTGTTCTGGAAGCCGCGGCATTGTTGCGATGGTACACATGGGGAAATTTATCTGTGGATTGAAACAATTCAAAGATAAGCATTTTTCACGAGGACTGTGAGCCTCACATTTTGTTTTCTATAAGAATTTTATGTTTTCTTACTTTTCTTCAATTTTTTTTTAGTTTCTATCTCAAAACCATTAAAATTTAATTCTTTAAACATTCTTTATTTTCACAAAGCTTGCTCTAGCAGACCGCTTTACATTGCCTAATTTGGTTCAGGCTGAAGATTATGCTAAATGAAAACTGTCAGAAAAAGTGGAACAGGTGATGTTTCTGTACATAGATGAGTCATAATTTGTCCTGCTGGAAGTTTGACTTTTTTTGGTCATATGCACTTAAAATCTCACACTAAAAAAATTTAACTGGGATTAGTTTTAGAAAGTGAACCTAGAAAAAATGTGGGTGCAACCTGTGGTGGATACAGCTCCAGCGTGCAATCAATACACGCAGTCATGCCCGGCAGGATGACCCGAGCGTTTCCTTTAAAGCCCTCCGTTCCCCCGTCGATGAGGGGGATGATGGAGCTGGGATCAAGCACTCCGTCTTCATAGCTCAGGAGAGAAATCTACAGAGATTAATCAATTACATTAGCCAAACCTCTCCACAAAAACAGCAGGTAATAATAGATGAGAGGGAAAAAAAAATATTTTCATTTAAATTGTACCAGCATCCCATTTATCCAGCGTCTAGCAATAATGGAGTCAAGTCCGCAGACAATGATGTGAAACTCTGCAACGATAAACAGCTTGGAATGAGTTTAACCCCTCAGTCATTAAAATAACCAATTAACTCTGATTAGGTTTAGAGGCAGAAATGCACTTACGCCTATAGAAAGAATCCTCAAAGTCTTGAATCTTTTTAAAGTGACTGCCATCACTCAGGAAAAAAGCCAGGGAAGTATGTAACACAATGTTAGCTAAACATGAATTGTTTATGCAGAATCAAGAGTGAAGGATACGGGACAACTTTACATCCTGAGATACGACTGTTGATAAAATCAGCAGCCACATCCGCCTTTGGTCTTCCAACGTCTTTGGGCCTACACAAAGAATTAATGTTATTTATGAAACATGTGGCAAGCTGTATATATAAGCTTTATAGGTAGGAGAGGATGAAACATCAGGTCTGGGGATGGATGGAATAAATACAAATTTTAAATGCTAATACATGAGAAATTTTGGAATGTTTCCCATATTAAGTAAATTTACTGTGATTATACCCTTCTTACAAACCATTGTGGCTCTTGTTAACAATGACCTTTTTAAATTACAGTGGTAAAACTAACCTGAAAAGAAACTGCCTGTTAAGATTTGACACATCAATGGTATCCATGTCAACCACATGAATAAGGCGAAACCCAGACAGGGCCTAAATAGAAAAAAAAATTGATATAATATTGCATCTCAAATAGCCCAGACAAAATGGATTTGATATGCCATTATAGGAACGATTAAAGCCATTTCCTTACCAGGTTCTTAAGGAGTTCACATCCAAGTCCTCCTGCACCGATGACCAAAATCTTACAGGTCTCCAATAAAAACTGCAGAGACTAATTTGACAAAACAGCCGTATTTTAACCACACTGCATCTGAACAGTGATGGACATTATTCACACTTTCATGGCGGTCACCTCGGCGCTTGGCTCAAAGTCAGGATGGGTGAAAGGACCCGGCCTTTCCAAAAACTTCTTCACATGATTCCAGCGACCATCCCAGTCGCAGCCGCTATCCATGTGTCCACTATCAACAGCCATTCTGGATGCAAAAACAAAAAAGAAACACTGAACATGTACTATAGCTCAAATTATTGCATTTAAATTTTTTAAGAGATGCACGACACATTAACATCTGTATCAGCTGATGTTGGTTACTTTTTAATCATCAACCACCATCTAGTTTGTGTGCTTGAGGAGGGTTCGCCTCATGGTTTTTGTTTGGTCATGTGAAAAGTGATGCAGCACAGAATTGTGGGTAATTGTGGCAATATGGCTTGAAACTAAAATCTCAGATTCTTTTCATACCAAATCAAATTGTCATTTTT